CAAAAACACGAATTGTAGAGCTTGTCCCCGGGAAAGATGGCGTCAGGCTTGTGATTGGTTGGCGAGTTACGATGTGTCCATGAATTTAGCAATCTACCCTTGTTCTCATTAAACAACTTTTTTACTCACACGAATTGGCAAAGTACCCAAGTACCGATCAAGCCTCCCCCCACAAAAACTTAACGACAACAACCTTCTTTACTTGTGCGTCTGATAAGAAAAATACCTTACCTACTCCCTCCTCCTTAGAGCCATGCCCGCATAATAGGTTGCTCTTTACACGTGAGGGGGCGCTGAATGAGATGCTCGCTTTGGACGGCTTCCGATACTTGGGGACCAATTGCAGGCAAAACATCTTTCTTATCTGAGTGACGCCAACGATTTAGCAACGGGATGGTGCGTACAATATCTTGTTTGGTAGCTTAGGCTCACATGTAAGACGCAGCTGAGAGGGAAGTAAAAGAAGGTTATTTTACTTAAACTAAACCATCCAATCCGATGCTCAAGTGTGCGGTGACGTTGGAGATGAAGCGATTGGTAGCCAGTCTCACCATGTACAGTACATACCTAGGTAGGCATATCTCGCCAAGCCTGTTACAGACAGACATGCGTTGCAATTCTTTGGCATCGAGCAAGATGGCAATGTCACTTATCACACCAGACCAAAGGCCAAGAGATTGCGCTCTCGGTCTTCAATACGACTATCGGGCGACTTCTCAAGAGCCAAGAAGTCAGGAACCAAAAGAGCTGTAGCTGTAGCCAGTGCCTCACGTACGTACCCCAGATATTAATTACCTACGTGATTGACACGAGTTTGAGGTTTTGCGGTAGTAATGCAATCAAACGGCTTTACACATCGTTCTCTGTAATGGAATAATCCTTTATGGCCTAGTAAATCGGACCAACCCTCCCTCTTGGTTCCCTCTCCGCATTTACACACGCCGATCAATGAGCCAAGGAGTTTCTAGTCTCCAATGATTCAAGATGCCCGTTTCTCGCCTCGATCTGCAAGTTGCAAAGCCCTCGCTTGTTTGGTCAAGAATTTCATCACCACAGAATGGATAATCATACGGGAAGCCTACTACATACGTATGTAGTTTGTGAACCGACGACGGCGAGGCCTAACAACATTGCGTCAAGCTTGTATCGACAGATACATTTGCCAGCTGAACAGATTAACTTCAGCTTTGCTCAAATTTCGGCTCGATATCTATCTACGGATATCAGCCGAGTCTTCTTATCCATGCCCAGGCAATATTTAAGATTGTTCTTTTCTTTTTGCCAGCTTCCCCCATGATCTTGATTCTCAAACATGGAGCAATCTGTCAACGGAGGGAGGTCTCTGACACAGAAAACCCCACGCTTCGTTCAGAGATATCACACGTCAACGGCGCCCCCCAAAGCTCCAGACCCCAGGGGATCCCTTGAAGCTGGAGGATTTTCCCGTTCTTTTTTCTGGCTCTCTCCCCAGTTTCGAATAGTCCAATTAGACACGAGATTTCAGGTCTCGCGCATTGTAGATTTTGGACGGCTGATGCCCAAGACGACACCCCCCATTTGTGACTGGTGGTACAGGGTCTTACACCCAGTTTCTAGATTACACGAAGCATGATTCTTTTATTTATAAAATAAGAAATGACTTGTATGACGCTTTACTTCTGGCCATGCGTGGTCGAACAATGTGAGGCTTCCCGCGCACGGTAAGCTTCCTTCTTCCTTTTGGGCAGTGCATTGTTAATGCGAAGCCTCTCAGCGCCAAAACGAGTTCAAGTCAAGATCGGGCCTCTCGGAGGGCGTGTCTCAAAAGAACAAGAAACCAGAAACCAAATTCGATGCGGACTCTGTCCGGGACGAGACGACAGAGACAGGGGTGTTTCTTTGACTTCGATCTCGAAAGACCCAGGAACCAGCCGAGAACGGCGCAAAGAGGAGTCGACATAGTAGACGCCTTACCAAAGACGTGTAAGCGCGTTAACGCTAGGGTCGGTACCTGGACAGAGCATGCAGACGCCGCTATCTTTATCTCTATCAATATGGGGGTACGTACCGATAAACATCCATGAGATGGTTTGTGGTTTTTGTATGTGTCCAACTGGTTACTACTAGTTGCGCTGTATCAGATCAATCTGTGGCGGTATCACAGCGACTAACGGGTGCTCGTACAGCCCTGTGAAAGGCTGAGCCATGACGGTACGTACCCTCAGACTTGCTATCTCTGCCCTGGACTCTATCTCGGGTACCCCCAGCTCAGCTTTGCTGCTATCTCTATCTCTTGTCTCTCATTGTGTGTCGCGCCTCTATCTATGCCCGTACCATACCAGGAGATCTGCAACAAATTGTCCCACGCCCAGGACATCCATGGCGTTTTTGGCTCGTGGAGACAGACCCGCGGCTGGCATGAGCATGGATATGGATTTGGATTTGGCGTTGGGTTGAGTCTAAGATAGTGCTGTACTGTTATGTAGGCATTGGATGTCAAACAATTATATTAAAGTCTTGCCCCCATCACTTGCATTTCTTGTTCCTCTTCTCCATATTCCCTTCCTTTTTTATCTCACTAGGTTGTTTCCATAACTTCCTATAACCGGTGGAGCTTTCCTTCTTCTTGCTCCTGCTCTTCCCCTTCAGGACTCACTCGTCACTTACCCACTTCACCTTGCTCGCCATTTAACGTGAGAGGGATCTGCTCAGCTTCATCGAATCTCACCTTGTTCCATATTTCGACAACCTGAACCCGACGAATATACGAAACGAGATCTCACGAGGCCCTACCACGCAATACTTCAACATGTCTTATGTTATCCCTGGACCCCCGACTGCCTTCAATGGCACCAATGAAGAGCTTGGTGGTGATTCCAGTAGGTTTTCCCATCGTCGACAACACGAAAACTTATCATCACAATCCAATACTAACACGATTCTTCTCCAGCTACCGAGAACCTCAACCAATGGTACCAATCCGGCGACCAGGCATTCATCATCCTCTCCGCCTGTCTCGTCCTTCTCATGGTCCCTGGTATCGCCTTCCTATACTCTGGTCTTGCCCGAAGAAAATCAGCCCTCTCCATGCTCTGGGTTGTCATGATGTCCTTCTCCGTCATCGTCTTCCAGTGGTACTTCTGGGGCTTCTCTCTCGCCTTCTCTACAACTTCCAACAACCCCTTCATCGGTGATCTCAAGCATTTCGGTCTCATGAAGGTCTGGGGTGCTCCCTCAGTCGGATCTCCTCTTATCCCTGCTCTGCTGTACTCTTTCTATCAGATGATGTTCTGCGCTGTCACTGGCGCTCTTACAGTCGGTGCTGTCGCCGAGCGAGGCCGCGTTGTGCCAAGCATGGTCTTCATCTTCTTCTGGGCTACTCTTGTCTACTGCCCTCTCGCGTACTGGGTCTGGAACCCTAATGGCTGGGGCTTCGTTAACGGCGTCCTCGACTACGCTGGTGGTGTCCCCGTCGAAATCGGCTCTGGCATGTCCGCATTCGCCTATTCTTGGGTCCTGGGCCGCCGCAATGAGAAGATGATGATGAACTTCCGTCCTCACAACATCTCCCTCATCACTCTCGGTACCATGTTCCTCTGGTTCGGCTGGCTCGGCTTCAATGGTGGCTCTTCTTTCGGTGCTAACCTCCGTGCTGTTATGGCTTGCTGGAACTCCTGCCTCACTGCCATGTTTGCTGCAATGACTTGGTGCATTCTCGATTTCCGCCTGGCTCGCAAGTGGTCCATGGTCGGCTGGTGCTCTGGCACTATCTCTGGTCTTGTTGCTGCTACTCCTGCTTCCGGTTTCCTCGACCCTTGGGCAAGCATCATCTTGGGTGTTGTCGCTGGTGTCGCCTGTAACTTTGCCACGAAGAGTAAGTTGCCTCATCATTTATTTTTTTACGCGCAATCGCTAACCTCACATCTAGTCAAGTTCCTTGTTCGAATTGACGACTCTCTCGATGTCTTTGCCGAGCACGGTGTCGGTGGTATGGTTGGCCTCATCTTCAATGCGTTCTTCGCCCGTGGCTCTATCATTGGCCTCGATGGTGTCAATACCGGTGTTATGGGTGGCTTCATGGATGGCAACTACGTCATCATCGGCTGGCAAATCGCTGCCATTGTCGCTGCCTCCGCTTATGCCTTCGTCATGTCTGCCATCATTGCCAAGATCATCGACTTCATTCCTGGATTAAAGCTCCGTGCCTCTGAAGAGGCTGAGCTACTTGGCATGGATGATGATCAGCACGGCGAGTTCTCTTACGACTACGTCGAGGTCCGCCGAGACTTCCTTGCTTGGAGTCCTCACCGTGGTGAGCCCGCTGAAGATGGTGATGTGCTTGAGCCTACTCATGGCATTCAGGAGCACCAGTCTATGATGAACCCAAGCGAATCAGATGACGTCCGCAAGACTCCTTCTCTTAACACACCCGATGCTGTTGCACCCGATGCGGTGATAAACGAGAAGCATCCTTAAACTTGCTTACGGCAATGTTGTATTTGCGAGTCATATTAGCCTTGTTTGATATAGAGGGGTCATTTTATTGTCAGGATTTCTTTTTTATAACTTGCGGGTTGCTGGGAGTAGCAGGCAAAGGCGTTACGGGTTTTACCATCTCTTCGACGTATCTGCCTTGGATTGTTTTAATACCCGCTTGGTAGATGTGGATAGCTTTGGAAAAGCGATGCAGGTCATTGGATACGTACATAATTTTGTTCCATGTGTGTGTGGTCTTATAGAAAGTTACAAAATCAGATCACTATATATTATCTTCATCTTTATACATCTCTAACCAGCATCAGTGAAGGAACTTAATGCTGCTTTCATCTTTTCGAATTGGCTCAAACCCCATCCAACTGCTTACTGCAGACTTGCTTCCATTTGTTCAACAGTACACGCTGCGCCGATTCTAAATGCCAACTTATAATTCAGGACTAATGAACACTCGCCATTTTGTTGAATCTAGATGGCATCTCATATTTACGCACAAATTACATCCTTGTATGCCAGACCACATATTCTCAAGAAGGCGGCACACCGTCTGTTACCTTGCCATATGGTAATGACGAGTAATCTCCGAAGCAAGAGTAGTCGAACTGCGCCTTTTCTGCCATCTTGTCCTGAACCTCGATGAATGTATCCAGGTCACACCAGCCGTCCTTACGGTTGACGTCACATTCCGGAAAACTCCTGCCTAGAGGCACAGTGCGTTGGTTGAGCACGAAGTGAATGTACTTGGTCTCCTTGCCATCGAGGTAGCCGTCTCTCTCTGGTGAGACAGGGCTGGGCGCCTTAATGACTTCGATGTCTAAGCGCGCACCGAAAGGAGTCAGCTTTGAGACAACGAACTCATGTTCGCCGGGATATTTGTCAGTAGGAAGTTCCTCAGCAAATTGGCGAAGGCCAAAGGCTGTCAGGATAGAGATAATGTTGGTGTCGTGAGAAAAGTCAAAGTAAAGACTTTGGTTCAGAGGAAATGTCTCCTTCATGCTATCCAGCGTCGTGTTAATCTGGGAGCCAGAGTAACCAAGTGTATGATTCTTTAGCCTTGCCATGACCTCTTGCTGGTAGCCAAGGCCAGTGGCTCGCTGTGACTCTGGTTAGCAGAGTTGGTGTTGCCAGAGAAGTCAACTTACGCCTACTGGGCTTTGGAACCCAGCCCCCGACGAGAATCCAAGGTCGATAGAGTAGCCAAAGTGTTCCCATTCCTCGTATGTAAAGAGGTCACAGAATCTACTAAAGCCGTATGCAACAGTTTCATAAGGACACATGTTTTGTGCAGCCCAGACGTCTGCTGGTGTCCATGTGAAACCCTCTGTCACGTTATTGAATCGGGCAGTTGCTAAGTGACTTTTCAGTTGTTGGTCTGCATATTTGATGAAGAGGCATACCGTCTTTGAGGTACTTCTCATACCATGCGGCTACAGGAGTCACGTAGTCCGCCTTGTCGGAGTTGGGGCAGTTCAGTCCTCCAGCAAGGGAGTTGTTGAAACCAGGGGCCTCGATAATCACTTCGATAGTGGCATTATTGGTCCTGCTGCTGTCAGAACACTGCAGCGAACACCTTGGACGAATCGCGCTTACCACTCAAGGCCAAAGAAGCCAGCCATCCAGTTTTCTGCAGACTTCAGCATGCGATCCTGAGTCTATACACTGTCAGTATCTCGTGACCTAGTTGGTATATGAACGAAGTTCACATACTGTAGTTCGGACGATGAGTTTGCTTTGAGGGTTGTACAAGCTACCGTACATGTAACTATGCAAGACGCCTGAACTCTTTATCAGATTCCAGTTTCTAATTTTGAAATGATAAGCTCTTACCAGACTCGAAGAGCTCCTGTCGACCCCTTGGGACCAGGATAGCCTTTCCGAGTTCATATTTCCAGTCCATCAAAAACTCAAGGGCACCACTGGTCTTGAGACCAGCCGAAGCATTGGCAAGTCGCTCACCAAGGGTTGCGACGTTCGAACCTGGAGTTGGATATCGAGCACCATGGCGAGAAAGCATCTGGACCTGAACGATCTCAGCACCTGGAGGGATTGGATACTCGTCCACGCCGAAGCCTGTAGAAGGAGAATAAGGACTCAGGTAACCCATCATCTGGAAGATGCTTCGGTTACCCTCCTTCATGCCTTCGATGGGGATAGATGTCTGCAACGGATCATTGGGAACAAAGGTGGCAGTAGGCTCAAAGACATGGGTTTGGGCCATGAAAGCCGGCTTTCCAGTTTCGGTAACACCAGGCCATAGTTGCGGCGACGTCTGAAAATACTGGGGAACTCGGGGTGGGTCACCCGGACATGAGCCGGGACCGGAGCCGGAGAAGGCAAGCGGGAGGCTAAGATAGAGGTTTATGGCCATAAGAATAACGACAAGGCCTGATAGAAGCATTATGGTGTTTCTGTATGAACGAATTGGGCCACGCGGTATGATTGGTTGAACGGGAGGCTCCCTAGGGCCATCATCGTGGCCATCACCCTCATCTTGATACACTGGCTGGTAGCCCGAAGCACCGGGGGCTGCTTTTGACTTGAGAATTCCTGAAGCTGGAGCCATATTGATACAAGGTTGGCTTGATGTTGACGGGTGGACTGTAGGTTGATGCGCGATAACTATGCTGTCTCAACAACCACTCTCTATGACCAGCACAAGCGAAGATTGGGCTGTAGTGTGTGCGTACCCCTTTGGCACGGGGCTGTGTCTTTGAGAAATAATCTCAATGACAGTGGATAAGGTAGTCAATGAAACAAGCCGTTCAATCCACGCCCTGGGCAACTGATGGAGGAAAGAGAAGAGAGGAGAGGAGAGGAGAGGGGGTGGCTATGAGGCGACAAGCGCTATAATTCGATGGTGGTTTGCTTAACGATGTTGATGATGTTGCTTCTTTGAAGATTGGTTGAGACGCTGAATTGATTGCCCCTGCGCGTTAGGAGTAGCCCGCCTTGTGCAAGGGGAAGGTGGCCAATTGGATAGTCAGCCATGCACTGTGTTAGGTTATGTATCATGGATCCCGTCCCCTTCAAGCCCTGTCAGACAGGGGAAGGAATCCGATCTTCGGCTGTCCGTAACACTGAGGGGCATTCTCTAGCGCCCCAGCTAGGGCGGCCCGACAACAAGTGAATTGATACTGTGTCGTATACACTGTACGGATATTGCCGAGTCGCTTAATCCCCACAACAGAAACAAGCGCCAGGATCGCCGACCCCGTGACTAAGGTACCTACCTATGGATGGATCTCATCTCATGGGATCTCACCGTCGTTTCCACCTCATTTATCAGATCTCGAGTCTGATTCGAGAAATGTAATGTATGTAAACCTGGTCGTGACGGCCTTCGTTGTCTCTTCTCTCAACGCCTCATCCATAACGTCATTCTAGTCGTAGGGATCGAGGCCCATCCTCTCTTGCCAATCTCGTCAAGGATTAGCGACATTTGTTGTTGTCTCCAAGACCATCACGATGAGCTGCAACATGTCGCTATGTTTGCGATCCTGTGCAGGCAGACCAGTCAGTCATCGTAGGTTCAAGACGCAGAGCGTAACCAAGGTAAACCCGGGGTTCCTCCATGGAGACATTTCGTTGGCCACTCAGGCCTTGAAACAAGCTGCTACCTACCTACCCTATCATGGTATCAAAACCATCATTCATCAGGAACAAAAGCATATCATCTGCCTGTGGCCGTTTAAAAGCCATCGTCTTCCTCCCTTCGATCTGCTCTGAAAGCCAACCATTTCATCATCGATCCTGGCTAGGCGTTCTTGACCGCCATTAATCAACCCATGACCAAAGTTCAATTCGAGGAACGGGAGAAAGATTCCTCGTGACACAAAATGCAATGCAAGGTGGATCGGTATACATACATGGAGATGACGATGGAATACAAAGCAAGTTCTCTGAACCCAACCCTCGGTGAGTGGCTTCAGCCAAGCAAAAAGCAAAAGGCCCATTCAGTTATTTTCGCTCTCACAGAAACAGACCAAACAGAAATCCGAGACCATGATAGCAGCCCACTGTACATACATTCTCGCCTTTTATGATTTATCTAATACCGTATTTGCCTTTACTGTCTCACCATGTCAAGGTAACCAATCATCTGAAACTAAACACATCTTGACCAACTATCGGAAGCAAATCAATCATATGTCAGCCATTTCATCCAGATTCTGTGCCAAATCTGAGACCATCATCTCATCTCACTTCTTGTCTCAGCACGCAACTCTCGTTAAGAAACAGCCACATTTCTTCCTTGGTATCTGCTCACATTGGACGAGGCCCCCACCAAGGCGTTCCATCCATGGTCACTACTATGGTCACAGCCTTCATGGTCTTGAGTATTATGCCGGCTTTTCGCCAGCCTTCAAGCCTCGTTGTCTCGTCTTACCGCATCGTAGCTATGGATATGCGTTCGTTTCGTGTGGCTCTACTCAGCATTCTCCAAGCCTCAACAACTCCAGAACAAGGTATTTGCATTGGATGCTTACCCAGTCATAGAGCACCCCTGACTGTTGCCAATGGGAGAGCGTACAATTCTTTGCCGTAAGACTCCCGGCTTATTCCCAACCTAAACGAAACAAGTTTTGTAACTTGGTACACATACGAATTAGACTTGTCACCCTATCATATATCACTTTTAAAGTCTCTTGTGCCTGAGCATCTCGATCTAAGTTATGCACGCGATTCCTTGTATTCGGCTGTCCCTATCGGGTGCTAATACTGTATGAGCCTTAAACACACTTATTAATCCTTGATTTCTCTTTTTTCGACCAAAGCCCATTCTGCCATACCCACCAAGTCAGATACCACACTGTACCGACAGACAGGTTCGCCTGAGACATGATAAACCATTCTTGTTACTTTTCCGCGACCGTGACACCCCAATAAAAAACAAGAGATGAAAAACATAAATAAATAAAAAACACACTCAAACTTGAATGCAAGACCTTGTTCATAGCTTTTGATTCTCCCCTGTTACCTCCAGATTCCCCATTGCCCTTTTTATGCGCCTCGGTTCCAAAGTCGATAAGCACCACATTATCTCATCATGTTTCGCGAGCATGCATGAATGCATGCGAGTTCACCCCACAAGTGAGGTTGCTCTAAGCGCTAGATACACAGTTTTAGTTGGCCTGAGACCTGAGGGGGAAGAAACCGTCTGGCATTGGCTCAATGTGCCAGATCTTTGGTGATTCCTTGTCGAAAGCAGCGGACCACTCTTGTCTCAGGTCTGCAGGGAGCTTCCATCCCAGCTCATCATCGCGGAGTCTCATGCGTACCAAGTGTCGACGTTCCTGGGCAGCCTCACCGTTGACGAAGCCTTCTCGGCGATGCAAGATTGTGAGGTTGTTGATGAAATGCATGTCACCTGCACGTGTGCTGATCTCCAGCTGAGTCGCCTTGGCAATGTTCTCGATGGAGTCCAATGCCTCCATCTGGCGTGGCGTAACGGCTGGAAGGTTGGCAGGGCGTGGGTGAATAGCATTCCCCGTAAGAGCTACCCGCCCAAAGTTGATCAACACTTTCCCTTCGTGATGAAAGAGGACTGGTCGGCATTGGAAACGGGGTCTATCACAGTATAGCGTGTCAGTGGGTGGACTCCTTGCTTATCGCTGTGATGAGGAGAACAAATCAAGTGGATGTAGAAAATCGAGTGCCTGAACTTACAGGGCGAATGGCCAGTCAGAGCGAGCAAGAGTGCGGACCATGTCCGGACGGCTAGTAGCAAGAATATTGTAGACCGTGTAGGCTGAGGCGATGATGCATTTGCCTCCAGAAACAGCGGTGCTACGTGTGAGCCAACTGACTATGTCACCAGCTTCCTCGTTGTGGAAGGTCTAGAGCAGAAGTTAGCATTGTTGAATATTCCTTCCAGGAGTTATGAAGAAGGATTATCATACGATGGGGGAGGTGGAGTGTCGATGGTGACCGGCCTTGAGCTTGGAGGAGTTGTCGGCGACAATATGGACTACAAATAGGTCAATGAGAAAGAAACAAAGCAATGGGATCATTCAAGCCAACCTAGCATATTGCCTTTTCGATCTTGACGCCCATGGCGATTGGCAATGTAAGACTGAATGCCAAGATACAGCACAGTCAAGTCCTCGACCGAGTACTTTTGAGGATCGAGGCCACGAATGACACCGAAGCCCTTGCCTTGGTGGACGTCTTGGCGGATACGATCCAGTCTTGGTCCCAGAGTGGGAAGAGGGAAGTTGTCTCGGGAAACACAATCCCCGTCAAGTCCCAAGGCTGTCTGGTGTTAGCCACATGATGCACGCCACGGAAGAAGCGCCTCATAAAAAGATACGTACCTTTAAAGACCAGCAAAGCATTCTCAGCTTCCTGTAGATCGGATTCGCTCAGAGAGTGGATGAAATCCGATTCATCCGTGAATTGAGCACCAACCCAAGCCATAGGCTCGTCGAGAAACTTGGGCCACCCTTCGGGGACCCCAGCCGGCCCATCTGCCACGCGACTGACACAGCCGGCGGCCGCAGGAGCTAGCTCAACGGCCGGGCTCGGACCAATGATGGGCCCAACTATGGAAGATGCCATGGTAATGGTTCCTGAGGGAGAGGTACCGCTGGTGGCTTGGTGGGGGTGTCTTGATACTGAGGTACACACTCTGTCAGCCAGCCTCTTACATGAGAAAAGGGAGGTGTAAGTTTTGTCAAGAACATACGTTACGAAACGCAACGGGCCGTTGTCTGATGACTTCTGGTATAAGTCAGGATCTGCGTGGAGACCTAGTGGATCAGGAAGAGATCGAATATGAAAGATGATATGTGATGAGAGCTGAAGGTGTGCTGGGGTGTTGAAAGAGAGGTGAACAAGATGGAAGGAAAGGAATGGGACCTCAATCTGGTGGTGCGAGGCGTCTACTTAAATGTGTTTGCTTGCTTAATGGAAGGCGGAGATCAAAACAGAAGGGAAAAGGAACGTTTTGATACTATCGTGGCAAGTGCCTTTGGTCAAGGTATAGTGACGTTGGAGGCGCCTCCAATTTCGAAGTTCCTTGAAGAGTAACATGAACAGAAGGCGCAACTTACAGTCGAGATCAAGAATAGAAGCGAGCGAGGAAAGAGGAAAAGACGGAGGTGCAAGCAAGGTGTTGGAAATACGGCAATAACGATATGTAGATGTCATGCAAATTGCAGCACAGACGAACGGTTCTTGACGAGCGAGATTGAGAATGAGATTGAGATTGTTGAGGAATATCAAAAGAACGTTCAGACTAAGTAGGAGGCTAGTAAGGTATTATTATAGCTTTCCCAAGATGTTTGGAAAATCGGCGGTAGCCCTGTTCAAATTTAGAGATGGAGGTGAAGCTCCTGGATACCTATGCGGCTCTTGGAAGGGTGTTGAAGTTGTGTAACGTTCTACCATGCTTCTCTGTCCCCGTTTTCTCGGATTTGATGAGAGAGAAGGCGGCTATAATGAAAATTTTCACTTAGACCTGCTTTTCGTCCCGTCTATGGCTTCCGCATCCTATGAAATTTCCAGTACTTCTTCTACCTTAGGACCTGGGTAGCCACCTTACACCACTTACACAAGGATTGTTGAGGAGATAGCATCCCGTCGGGTTGGCACTTCCATGGAAGTTGGCAGGGTTAAGGTATTAGAGACAGGGTATACGTAGATCGGGTACTTGCGTAGCCGTGCTCGTGGCAAGTCGCAGATACGCGGCGGCAGGAGGCTGCAACAGAACCCAGCAACGCGGGTATTCGCTGGGACTTGCTGCCATACATATTCCAGGGCCAACGGCTTGAACAATCAGAGTGCCTGGTCAGGTACCGGTATCTTCAGGGCTGGAAACGGAACGAGCAGACGAATTCTGAGGTATCAATTGGAGGTGAGTAGGTACCTACCTTACCTTACCTCCCTAGGTAAGAAGTGCCTTGCCGTTGATCTTGTACTTCATTCGCGGTTCCTCGCTTTTCCATGTCACCAGTCAGTGCCTGGGTAGCTCAAAAGTCCTGGGTAGCAACATAAACTCTGGGTCGTCGTCTCTCATTGCCAGGGAGGAGGAAACGAGACGAGAGAGCACTGTAACATTCCTTGGGGAGATGGTCCGGGCCCTTGACTAGAGCAGAAGGAAAAAGGAAAAAAAGAGAAAGGAGGAAGGAAAATTAATAGAAGTACCAAGCCTAGCCCAGCAAGGGTTGATTGATGTGTATGGTTCCAAACTGTAGTTGGTTGAGAAAAGCAAAAACACCAAAGGCTAAGAATGAACATGAGCTAAGACTAGGTAGCTAGGAGAGGCTCAGACTCAAGCTCAGCTGAGAGCCCAATCCTAGCTTAACCGAACTGGAGTAGCATGGTAAGGATGATCATTCGTGTTGATCCCCAGTAAGGTAGCTTATTAGTATGTGTACATACGTCGTAGCTTTTCTTGCCTACTAACCTAGTAGGTAATTTTAGGTGTGTGTTTTAAAAGTGGTTCACCATTGGCTTACTCCATAACTACCTACATATATGCACCTTGTTGGCTCCTCACTTATCTATCTGTGGCTGGCTGGCGTCACCTTTACAGTAACTACTAACTTAGTAGTACTCCGTAGCTGTGCTACTGTAGGTAGCATTGTGCCCGTTCAACAAGCCGACAAGGGCCCCCAAAAGCACGGCAGTCGACATTGATCCTTTGGCAATGGTTAAACTTTACTTGAGATGTTGTACAGCTTCATTGGTTGGCGGATTACTATCCGTTACCACCCGCTTAGCTTAGGTAGGTAGCTTAGGTTTGTTTGGTTCGTTTCTCGGGTCCTAATTAATGGTTCCCCGTCAAACCAACGCCAAAGAATGATGCCCACTGCCCAGGCGACGCGGACACCTCGGACGGTCAACAGTCAACAGTCAAAGCAAAGCAAAGAAAAGGCAAGGCAAGGCAAGGCAAGGCAAGGCAAGGCAAGGGATGTGCAATATTCGCGTCTCATTTCATACTTCCCTCCCGTTTGTCCCATCGTCATCTCTCCGCTCTTCCCGATGGATACACAACCTGAATAATAGACGTACTAATAAACCACACAGCATGTAGGAAGCACATTATACATATTATGTAGTGATCCGTACACAGTGCTGCATTATCCACACTATCAGACCAAGTCGACCTGCTGAGCCAAGTCAAGTCATAGCATAGCTGCGGTATGAATGGCCCGGGTTTGTCAAGTGCCGTACAACCAGGCCCGGCCCGTCCGGCATCCCTCCGCGAGCCAACCCTCATCAGCGACCTTGGTACATATAAACCTTTGATCCGCCTCGTGTTTCCGTGCAACAATGCGCAAGCAGTCAAAACGCAGCAGCCCGTCTCCCATCGACACTCGGTGAGCAAACTCTCGCCTCTTTCTGTAGGCGGCCGCACACTCTCTCGGTGTACCTGTCCCTCTCCTCTCACCGTCATCCCCTTTCTTCCATCGCATCGCAATTTGCTGGCCTGCACTCCGTTTCGTCCTGTTACATTGTTTCGCCTACGACCCTCCTCCCCGCGGATTTGCCGTGTCTCGCATCGTGAACTGGTCCATGTGGCGGTTTGTCGGGACTGAACAACAATGATCAATCTCTTCGGCTAGACTATAGCATCCTCACCTGTCCCTCCGCACCCGATTTAGCTGTTGGTTTATGTCATTCCCTTCAAACCATCACACCAGTTCGGCTCTTTTCTCTGAACCTCACCTGCTCTTGACCGCCTTTTCGTAACCAAGACTACCCTGGCATTTTAAAATGGTTTCCATTATCGTTATCATCGTCATCGTCATCGTCATTATGGCCGTTACTGTTGCCGCCGTCATCCACATTCACCGCCCTTCATTCGCTTCGTATACAGTCTCAGTTCCTGCACCTCCGCTGTGAGTACAGCATCTTCTCAAACTCTGCGCCTATGCCGTTGGTTCCAAGTCACCCATTGCCTCCCTACTACCACAGAAGACTACCAGAGATGTTATTGGTCAACCAAACCCGATCATATTGTTGTTCGAGGTTGCCAGTTGGTCTCGAACAATTGGCTGACAAAAAAGTAATCATGCTCGTACACGGCCTTGTTCCGGATCTCCTCCCATTGCAACGCTGAAGCCACAGAGTTCAAGTTAGCATCAAGTTAGAGAGCCATGGTCCAAGCCTGTATGGTTCTTATCCCCGAGGGTCGACTTACCATGCCGTCTAGCCAGGTTGCTAGTATGATGGACAAACTTGATCTTTTCTTCATCCAAGCCTGCCAGTGTTCGCAAGTCTTGGTCTTTGCAATCTTCCGAGAAAGGGTAGATGCCCTTGTTACAGTAATGGAAGTGTGCGAGCAAGATGTTTGCGCCTGTTCAATCCCCAGTCAGCAAGCGCTTCTGTGCAGGATTGATCGGGGTAGTTGTGTGACTCACCTAGGTGGTATTCTTTGACCTTCTCCTCACGCGCAAAGCGTCGCTGCAAATACATCGATAATCAGCAAACTTCGCCGGCCACTGTCGACTTGCGGGGCTCTCTTACCTTCATGCCGTGCTTCTTCGCATATCCAGCGTCATGAGCAGTGATGAGAGCTGTGTTATGCAAAAGAATGAATATCACAAGATACGTCACTAGCCAAGTGCTCTGCTTGTTCTTTGACATCATCTTCTGGAGTTTGTCCAGAAGCTCCCTTCGCAGCTTGGTTTGTATGTGGTGAATCAGGATAAGATCCATCTGAGCGCCAAGTACAGGCGGAAGAGGGATCTTGCCATGGTTCGGGTTTGTTTCGTCCAGGATATTTTGCTTCATCCCCAAGGTCTCTTCTCCAACAATGAAGCTCGACCGCGTTGTCAGACGAATCGACATCCACAACAAGAGTGTATGATGAATAAGTTCCACACACTCTGGCGTAGTGGACGGGTCTTTGAAGATTTTCCAAGCACGTAAGTACGTTCGGAATAGCAGGCCTTCAGGTGGGCCCAGCAACTTGGTAAAAGCATCCTGCATGCTATTCTCAATGTGGTCCAGGTATTCTTTCTTCGCCTCCTCGAGGTTGACCATCGCATACGGAGGAATCTTTACTGATTTCTTGACACCCTTGTAATCCCAAGTACGTTCCAGCTTGTCACCAGCTTGAGGAATGAATCGTTGAACCTTCACCTTAACAAACTTATTCGATAGCCCCTCGGACAGATAGATGGTTCTGGGCTCTTCAGTCGTAGCCCAGCTCTGTATCGGATCCGAGATGTTGTTGGTCCATCGTCGTGTCCATTCATAACCGGGTACTTGGCCCGGTTTGAAAAGTCGGATATCTGTTATCTTATATCTGAGGCAAGGAAAGCGCCCCGCTCTCGAATTGGAGACTTTTTTGCACGTCAAACAGGCCCCTCCCTCTTCATCGGGGTTGTTTTCACACTGCAACACTGGTTAGTCGTCTTTGCGCACCAGCCAAAAAGCTCATTACAAGTAAGACATCATCTTCTGTAAGAGAACCGGACAGTGTTACTTACACGAATTCTTTGCATTCTGCACCTGATACAGGAACCGATCTTCCGGGTTTGGGCAGTTTGTTCACGGAGATTTGGGTCCTTGAACGGACCTCTCTTTCCCCCTCTTTGGTTAGTGAGCACGATTTCATAATTGGCTTGTTGATCCATTAGAGACCACCCGTTCTGCACCGTATCTTCGCCAAGTTGAGTATTGATTAGCATACCATATTGGGAAACGCTGTCGGGTGGAGCCAAGCTCTGGTGAGTTATGACATTTGCATCGATAAGGCTAGGATCGGAAGTGTAGCCGACTTGTGGAAATGCCTTGGTGTCAAGCTGTTGACCGGGCATTAGTACCTGGTTCTCCAGCTGTGGCTCCTCTTTGAAAGCTTGGGCGACGTAAAAGTCTCCAGCTGATAGATGAGGTTGATGAGTTGACCCAGGACCACTCATCACAGGCTCCGCTAACGCCGTTTGATCAGAGATGAGAGGAAAGTTGACAAGGGGCGCAACATTCAAGTTAGATTGTTGAAAGCTGTAATCTGGCTGTTGAACAGAGCTCAGAGTTGTGTCACCATACGGTTCAGATGATGGCATTGTCATAGACGGTTGTTTTTCTGCCATGTAAGGAGCATCTGGACCAGAAACTGCCGGTGCAGAGCTCGGTAGCTGTTGATAGCCTTTCAGGGTGATGTCAGCGATGATCTCAGATGTACGTCGGGCGATCGGGCAACGTTAGAAAAGTCAGGTGCTTACCATCTTGATGTCTTGGGTCCCAACCACAACATGGGCAGAAGAACAAGGTCAGATCCGCCATACGCCTGGTCAATGGGGAAGTAGAAGAGGGCATTGAGTTCTGGCCACAGTCGTCCCAGCTTGAAGATGCCCCATAATGCTCATCACGTTGACTGTATGTTCCTGATAATGGGAGTTTCATTAGAGGTCCCTGGGACGAAGTCGGTCCTTGCTCGGGTGTCATTGGAATTGATGGTGCGAGCCTTCTCCTCTTCCTGCAATGCTGTTGTTCAATCAGTTGATGTAATTGAGTACCAGAGGCTATTCCATAGAACTGTGCCAGTTGATCAAGATTGTCTTGGATCTCAAATGGTATAAAGGTGAAGTCCTCATTCACGAGAGGGGTGAAAGATATTGACGAAGGGCCCGGATCTTCAACTCCCGGTTGGAGGAGAGGCCTCTTAACTTTGGAAGGATAATGTGGATTCTATAGAAAAAAATCAATTCACCGCACATTTGGGTCTCATAGGGAGGGGCCTAGGGCAAGATCAGGGAGGAGATGCTTGTCTGAGAGTCATGGCACGAGAGCCACGACGGGGCTGCGAGAAGAGGAAACGGTGGTGATTGGCAACATCCGCAGGGGTTATGCAAATAGAACGATGGAACGGGGGATCGATGATATAACTCCATGCAGCTTGCCGCCAACCGGGGAGAGAAACTCTTACCATAATGGCTGCAGTGAGACAGGGCAGGGTGTGGAACAAACACTGCCTAGCAGTAGGAGTAAGAACAGAAAGACGAAGGTCAAGGTACCACCACGCGGAATCAAACTCGACGAAATACAGTCAATGACAAAGAAGAGCTAGCTTGCCCGGTTTGTCTCTCAGAAGCGGTGGTCAAAAATTGAGCGACGCCGGGGTGAGAAGAGGGGAGTGTGTGGTGGGAGGCTAATGTGCCACGAAAGCCATCACCAGGCACTTGACGTTGAAACCCCCCGTAGTGCGCCGAGTGGAGCAACAGTGATGGCCGAAGTCAAAACGACGGCTGAGAGAAGGATACCAGACAGTCGGGAATAGAAAATGCTGTGATGAGAGAGGCGAAGAATCCGGGGAAGCTAGGCGGAAAGGCGATAAGTAGGTATGTTAGCGCAAACCCAATCAGGTCGTTGAGGCTCCTTGCCAACAGATGGAAGGTCGATGAGATGTTAGTGTGCTGCTCGCAGCCGCCAAACTGAGAACCTCGAGCCTGAGTAAGATTAGGACCGGACGTGGAGCCTTGTCCACCCCGTCCACTGCTTTAGCAACAAGGCGGGCTGAGCTGTCGTGGTACTGGCGACAGAACGTGGAGTGAGTAGCCGGTGGTGCTGGTACTGGTGTTTGCACAGTTGAGCGAAATCAGCGCAATATGCCTGCGGCCGCGATCGTATGGATGACGGCTGATGCGGGCTGCGGGCTGAGCAAGTATGCGGCTGGCGGTGTGGTGGTTGTAGTGACTGGGCGTTGAGCGCTTCAAGCAACGGCTTGACGGTCTGCTGGGAACGGTGATGATGAACGAGTCTGTGAGAGAGGAAAGTGGACTCGGTGAGGACGGCGTTGACATGGCCTCGTGCTGAGTAGTTTTTGACCGGTCTGAGGGGTACCATGGGAGTGGCAGGGGGCCTTCTGATTGTAGTGCTCAGGCTTGTCAGGTAAAGGATTTTGGGATATTACCCGCTCTGCCGGTTCAGTGCACCTGAACTTCTCGATCTTATGTTATGTGACGTACTGGAATCCGTTATTAGAAGCCATTTGGTGGGGTGGTTAGGCAAAAAGAACCAGTATAAAAGCTTCCTTCATGGCTTAGGAACTTGCCTACTGGAAAACGAGGGTGATTTGAATCGTGCGTAGTCGTAGACAACAATGCAGCTCATCACTCCTTTGGCAATCGAATCTTCGGATCGGGTCATTGTTCCATAGCCACGGAGCCTAGCCATGCCAATGGTTAATTCGTGCATTGAAATGGCCATGTGATTGACATGGGGCTGACCAATGTCGGTCATGGCTGCACAGCTGCTCAGCTGGGATTGGATGATGTAGCATTTTCAAATTGCTTTTTTTCCCATTCACAGGGTCTCGCAACGCCAACCCGGCCGGGTATCTCACACCAGGAAAAGATAAAGTACTGTACATCGTCAACTCCACAACTTAGCAAAGGTTCTCAAAGGTACTTGGATCGCCAAGCAGTTCAGAAGAAAGATCGTTTTTATCCAATCGTCGATGTAGGTCCGGCATTGGGGGGGGCCACCTCGACAGTAACACATACAAGTCCGAGACAAAGCAGAGATGCCTCGACAAGTACTAGATGAGCAGTCAAGTTTCTAACCAGGAGGATATTCCGTTTGCCAGATGCACTCGGATGTAGAGGTGTATCGTAAACGAACAAATGCCCGAGCGTTGTTTCAAGCCCTTTCACCTTCCCTTTCGCCCATCTTGTCTTGACCAAGGCTGACGAGGGAATAACAGCCGACCTCCCACAGAATGATGAGACCAGTGGTGCTATCTGCCAGTATCTGACCCATTTCCAGAAGCCTGAATTCTGTCCATGTGATGAGACAAATGTGTGCTATCGTCACGCAAAGACTCTGGTTGGTACGAGGGAGGAGGCAGGGGCAGCAACCGGTGAGAACAGCAATTACATACTTTCACTCTTGGCCGATAATCAGAACTAAAAGATCGGTCCGATCGACATCCTGTTGTGTGTGTTATCATTGCGAGCTTCTTACGACAAGAACCTGGTAGCTGATGTTCGAGCCGGGCGCACTAAGAACGGCACGATGCAACTCATGTCCCTGAGCAGCCGCCAGCAAGGCGTGGCCCAGCCACAGATTCTGCATGAATACGGCTGCATCTTCGTGTTATATTGCATCAAAATGCAAGTGGGATATGCGTGGCTGCGTCCGCGTCTCTTGGTTTGACGATGTTGTCTCTTCTCTCGCCAGGTTGTAGTGTTTTCGATGCGAGAATAGGTTCCTGGCGATATCACCCAGCCTGTGACGTCGGATGGATGGGATGGCAAACTATGCAGGTTGCAGAAATAATAATCACTAGGCGTTTTATGGGACCACAAGAGGTGTCTTGCTAATACGGTATACTGTGATTGGAAGTTAATTAAGTGGCGCGCTTGCACTTTCCCTTGAGGAAGGAAGATCCAAGTCAAGTTAGTAAAGTAAGGTGGTTAGATACCTACCTCCCTACCTTACCTTAGTAGGTTATCACGATGGACGTTGGAAATTTTGCTTTGCATTAGTACAAACCGCGTAACGGTCTGACGGAAGAAAGGTCCGTTACCGTTCACCGGATTTCCATACTGGGAAGTAATCGAACACCCACGAGTTTCATATCCAAAGTTAGTGCCTTCTAAGCTTCAGACCGAGGAATCCAAATCTTCACCGGATCCAGCACCTTGTCCCTACCTAAGCGCCGATGAGGAACTCTTTGGTTGATCTAGAAAAGAGCATGGATGCCACATGGAAGGACTAATGTCGTTAGTCTCTATCCACCAACGGGTCTTCCCGCGTTCTAGATGGCGCGTCGTAAATGGGACGAATCAAACTGTTCCTCAAATAGAAATCGCTGGAGTTTTCTCCTGGATGGGTTCCTTCCAAGTCCTACCTGTAGCTACAACTCGTTCTGGCGATTCTGTGCTACCTAGACGTACAGGATGCAGGTAAGGGAGGTTATACATATGGAGTCGGATCCCTTGCTTTGCTTGCAGTCACAAGCCCGTATTCTCTTCAGCCATGTAAGCAGCCATCGGCCAGTTATCGCCCCAATTATCCCTGCTTCATATTCGCCAACATTAATGGACATTGTCTGTTATCCAGCTCCCACGGTATGGTAACGCAGCAGCAGCTGAGCGTGTCAGCGCAGCCACTCGGGAGCTCCGCGAGCTCTACCCACGAACATTGCAATGCTGGCTTTGCGCACTGCCCAAGCCTCCCCGCCCGGCCAGGAAAGGCAGAAAGCTAGGCTCAGGCCCCCATTGGGCGATCCATGGGTGGTAATGGCTCTCCGGTGCACCTCTCCCGCTTCGGTGTCGGCTGGCACTTGTTATCAGAAATCAAATAATATCGGAATGCAGCGTGCTTCGGGGCACACCAGTCAGCGCGGATGACGTTGCCTATACGCAAGATCCCAAATGGCCGGTATTTCGGGAATGAGAAATGTGACTGCTCACCGGTTTGCCAGGAGCCCTTGTTCCCAGAATCTCGGTATTTCCCCACGCTGATACTTGAGGGGGCAGATGCCGGCATTGATCTGTCCAAGCCAGGAACGGTACTTATTGTGGAAGTCGTGTGCTGTTTCTGACGGTAATGGTCCTATTGATCGGCCCTGGACGAGCCCTACCGAGCACTTAGATGAGGTTGTCTCGCCTTGACATTGGTTAACCTCAGTCGTGGCCTAATGCTTCACAGAGAATACCTGGCCCATCTCGCTTAAAGCTCCCGATTTCTTAAGCTGGGCCAGGCCATTCGGTTTCGAACTGATTAATGTGCCAACTCCCGTATGTAACACTCTCTGAAAGCCATGACCAAGACCTTGACTTGTCTCACCAGAGACTCCTCATGTCTCCCAATTCGAACGTTCCCTGAAGATGTCACTGCCACAATGCCCTCTACCAAAAAAATCCGACTGCCTTCTGTCAATCCTTCGTTGCCATCCGTCACTTGTTTCTTTTTCTCTGCTTGTACACAGTTTTTATAGCTGATCTCTCGTACAAGACCGTTTCTTCATGTCAAGTCTAGCGTATTCAAAGAGCATTTCATTATCATCCATTTTACATGTCAATCATTGTTTTCGTGGACGGCATCCAGTTTATAAAACCGTTAGCGAGTCATGTCGATTCTGGCTTTCATCAGCTTGCGTGTTCGTTTACCACGACTAGCGACGCAAACAACCACCAACGACTCGTTGAGCCATCGCTGGGCCATCACAGCGCTGTACTCCCACGAAGCCCAATACAAATGACCTTGGCTCAGTGTGTCTCGCTGCATTCATGGGTGTTGAGAACTCGAATCTTACGGGACGTTCCACAACAACCGTTGGAATAAAAGCAACTACCCAAGCAGTATTGTGACCGGGTCTGATCCCGTGTTTTCAGGAGGCAACGGATACCTGCCTTGATCCTTCCGCGTGGAAAGCGTGGATGAGTTGTGTCTGGGAACGAAGAATATTCGTTTGTCAGGCAGCATGCCTCTCCGCAGGT